ATAATAGACAGATATTTATAATGATGCATAGAAAAAAATAAAGATGGATAGAGAGGGGTGAGTAAAAATAACAAGTTTATAATGTAGATATTTTCATCAATTTAAAAAGTCCTAATCGATATTTCGAAAACCTGCAGTTCAAACCTTTAAATTTGTATCTTGCACACTGCCTTCAAACTTTTGATTTATTGCAGATATTTCGCAGATATTTTGCAAGAAAGAAAAAAGTTTGATAACGTTAGATCCTAGTCCTATCTAAACTATTTTCTAATCCCTGTTTCTCCTCCAAGTATTAAGAAACGCTCAAGGGTAGAAATCTAATCCTAGGTTCGGCATAAATGCGCAAAATTGCGACGTTTCTGCTTTCAATCAAATATGACTCAGCCTTCAAGCTGTCACTTTATGCTTATTGCTTAAAAAGGGGAAATCCGCAGAATAGAGAAATTTAGTCGAAAAAAGTGTGAAACCGCCATTTTTACTGCTTCCGTACTCAAATGTGTGCTTTACACCCTTTTCGATCCTGAAACCTATATTATTGTGACGTATAATTTGGGAACATTTACAATAATTAGATGCATCAAAAACAACGTTTATATTGTCCTCATTGTTACTCAGATAGAGATATCTGGGTACCTTTGTGAATTGAACATTTCACAAATTAAATAGAGGCTCACTTCAAATTTCGTCTGTATGTTCCTGTAAGAAGGGTAAATATTTTTCATGTTTTGATTTTTCCATTTGGAATTTATTTTCCATGACTGAAGGGGAGTTCAGCAGTTTTTCTGCAATCATAAACTACAATAAAGGCTTCAAGGTATTTGTGTTTGCAGACATGTATTCAAGATTTGCATGTGAATTCAACAGTGCAAAATATTCTTCTCCATTTTTTGCACAGTAATCAATAATATTTTATATATATAGTCGTAGTTTAGGTTTAATGTACGTATTTGCAAGATTAGAGCGGATAGATATAACATATTTGTGCTATCACAATACAGCGTAGTTTAAGTTTAATGTACATATTCACAAGATTAGCGTGGATATATATAAACGTAGTTAAGCTAATCACAATACATGTTACATAGTTATTCACAGCATAGATAATTAATAATGTACAACGTAGCTCAGGTTTACAGATATCATACTACACCACGTAGAATTAGTTTATAGCTAATTACGTCTTGTTTCACCTAAACAGGCAAAGCCTCCCCATGCCCGTACATGAATATTTGAATGGTGCCACGTTTGATTGGTTGTTTTTCCCTGTAATACGTGATCATATTTCCCGCCCGGTACAACTAGAATCAAGATGTAATTAAATGACAGTACAAAATATTGACCCAGTCAGGATTTATAACTCCGCCCAAACAAGACTGTTGGTGTGACGTGACACGATACTTGTTTCAGGCTAAATCGTATTTTTTCTGCCTGTAAGAAAACATTATGTATGCAGGGTTACCCACAAAAGATAAGACTTTAATGATTGCCTAAAGCTGTTTAGATATTATGATCTAAAGGTTGAAATTGAACTTGTGTGTTTTATTCAGTTTTTAAAGTGTAAATTAAATGATCTTGTAAAGTTCGAATCAAGTGTGGAGCTGAATTGAACTATGACTTAAAATAAATCTAAAAAATTCTTTTCAGTCATCTCTGAATTCTAATCCTTTGTGTGTCACCGTTTCACTTTGTACCGACCCGGTTGTCACTGATTTACCCTTGTAAGGCCCGTGTGTCCCTGTTTTATCCTTCTTCCGGCCCTGTTCTCCCTGTTTTATTTTGTACCGGCCCGGAGGATGTCCTTAGATCTGACGTTTTGCCGCTAAATCTTTAGTATTTTCAAGACGTGAAACAGTGAACAGATATTTCTGTGTGTTATCACATTAAAAAAGTAATAATCTAAAAATCAACGGAGAATTTTTATCGTTCGATTTAGGTTTTAATTTTCACTTTTCATGTGAAATAAAAAAAATCGGTTTTTTAAAGGACAAAAATACAGTTGGTTTTGCGCTGTTAGTGGCAATTTTTTTTATCAAAAATTGAGCTGTTAGCGCTGACAAAAATCAATACTGCAACGTAAAAGTGAGAAAATGGCTGAAATTTTTAAAAAACCAAAAAAAAATGAAAAATTTCTGACTTAATGTTTTTTTTTATTTTTTTTCAGGCGGAAAATTTTTGTCATTGTTTAAAATTTGTTTTATTCAAAGTATTATTTGCTGGAAAACAGGTGTTTTTAAAAAAATAACTGAATCAAAATAAACATCTTTCTTATAGAATTGATGGCTAAACGTACAGTTGAAAATTAATAAAATGTTAACAATATACAAAATCTGTTTCTGCATAGAAAAAAATCCCCAAAACTATTTTTTTGTCCAAGTATTTCTTCTTTAGAAAATATTTTTCCATTCTTCTGTATGCTTTTAGGTGACCTACCATTTAAGACGTGGCGAGTCCAATTTCTTAAAGGTGTTAAATTCTCACAATTTCTCTGTGGCGTAAAGTAACTTTTTTACAGAAACCACAATTAAAAATACTCAATTTTCAGCAAAAAAATGTATCTCTTAATTTTTATTTAAGGTTTGTAGAGTACCACACTGTACATCAAACATGCCACTCTGATACTGGAGGGTCACTTGAAATTACGTGTAATGCCCTTTATTTGAAAACTAGTGTATAGAGTCGATCTTCAAAACTTCGAAAACGTTCAATGAAAATGACTTATTCACACACTCCTGTATGCCGAATCCATTAGTGTCTGATCCAATCAGGGTTCAGTGATGTGTTTGGTGTCTATTCTGAACCAATAGAAATTGCATCTATCTTTCTTTCTAGCTCATTATCCAATAAGAGATAAATCCTTATGTCGGCGCTATAACAGTAAATGGAAATATTTACTTCTACTGAAACTATAATGCACATAGATTCAGGATGCTTATAAACAGTCTCATCAATTTTGTAGTGTCGAATGCGTTGGGCATAGATTTTACCGCTCTAATTCACTCATGCTTTTCTGTAGCCCTTTACAGGTACATTTCAGCACCATAAAGCACTTGTTGTTAGTTTTTTTTACATTTTAGCACCATAAAGCACTTGTTAGCTTTTTTACATTTTAGCACCATACAACACTTGTTATTAGCTTTTTTACATTTTAGCACCGTACTGTATTCCGTCCATGCTTAAAGCTCAAGGTTGTATAAAACATGTCTATTAGATATGTTCATAAAGAGTTAAATTAGCTTGATTCCTATTAATTTAAACTACTTGATTGCATGTTGTATACCTAATTATGTTAATAGATAATTTAGAATATATAAATTAGTTCTCTTAAACTAACTCTTTTTATTCAAAACTGATTAGAAGATAAACTAAATCTTAACAACACCCGTATTTAAAGGGACTCTACGGCACACACGTAATTCCAGGTGACGCTACATTGATAGAACTGGCTTGCCCGATTCAGATCAGTAACCTTAAAAGATTTTTTAAATAACTTTTTCATTTCTGGTTTCTCTACAAAACTGACTTGCGCATTTCTTGTTTTGAAAACGATGCATCTTCATTATTGATCAAATTAAGATACCGTTGTGAATCGATCGTGCCCCTTTTTATATAGAGGGTCCCTGAAAGTTACCGGGATAATTCTTTAAATCTTTACTTAATGTTAACACTTGATGATCTAACAACTGAAGCCAGTTATTCTAAGATTTCAAAATATGGTATTTTGTATTTCCTAAAATTACCCCGTTTATTTGGGAGATTTTAGATTTAGATGCATTTTTATATCAAACTAGTTTGTTTTATCTAAACTTGTTTTATTTGCGCATATATTATATATCCAAAACTTATTAGATTTATATCCAAAACTTACTAGATTTATATCCAAAACTTATTAGATTTATATCCAAAACGTATTAGATTTATATCCAAAACTTACTAGATATATATCCAAAACTTACTAGATATATATCCAAAACTTATTAGATTTATATCCAAAACTTACTAGATTTATATCCGAAACTTACTAGATTTATATCCAAAACTTACTAGATTTATATCCAAAACTTACTAGATTTATATCCAAAACTTATTAGATTTATATCCAAAACTTACTAGATTTATATCGAAACTTTCTAGATTTATATCCAAAACTTATTAAATTTGTATCCAAAAGGTTATTGGAAATAAAACTTTTTATACTTTTTTTTTAATCGAAATTTGAAATTTCTTGAACTTTGGGCTTGGATTTTAAAACTTAGAATATTCACTTTGATTTAGAAGCCAAGGTTTAAATCTTTTAAAGGATTTAACTACAGTTGGGATGCCAGCTAATAAAACTTTTCTTGGATTATAGATTAAGCGCTTGTTGTATAAACATACAATACATACATTACCCCTTAGAAGGCTTTGGGGGGGGAGTTTTGCCCCTTCTTCTTTTTTTTATCGCTTTTTATTTTTGAAACAATTACCCTAAAAGATTTTGATGTTTAATGAAATAAAATGTAGAAGAATTTATTGCCATAATTACATAAAATGTCAGGGTATGGTGCAGAGCTGTTGGATGATTGTGTCTATATTTACCTCGCACCCCCCCCCCCCTTATTCCCCTAACCCCTGAAAGAACTAATATACGAGGGAGGTTGGAGGGGGGGGGGGTAACAGATTACTTAGTAAGAAAGATGCTCGTTAAAAGAAGTCTGTAAAATATTCCCAATGTTCTGTATCTATTATATGCATCTATAGTTCCAATTCAAGGCTTGAGCTCCCATCAATCAGAAATAAAGACATTTAGTAATTTGTTTTCCAAGCGCAGACCCAGTTACGCGTCTTGAGGGCAAATCTAGCAATAATGTGTACCGGCTCGAAATCCGAGGAAATATTGTGTACCGGTCCGACTGGCCGTGCCTGCAGATAAACGGGCGGACAAAGTGCGAGGAATAGAGATAAAGACGTTACCACAGTTTGCGCCGCCAAATACGGTTAAACATTTATTTTACGAATATTTCAGAAAATAAAATGACATGATTATGAATTGATACAAAATGGACTCAGCAATTGTTGCTTTTCACAGCATAAGGTGATTAATATAACTTTTTTCATGATTATTATTATAATTATTATTATTATTAGTAGTAGTAGTAGTAGTAGTAGTATTTTAATATTATTCTTAAGGTTTGTAGAGTACCACACTGTACATCAAACATGCCACTCTGATACTGGAGGGTCACTTGAAATTACGTGTAATGCCCTTTATTTGAAAACTAGTGTATANTGCTTCAGGATACTCTAATTTATAATCCCTTGTTTCAGGATACTATAGTTAACAATCCCTTGATTCAGGATAATCTAGTTAACAATCCCTTGTTTCAAGATAATCTAGTTAACAATCCCTTGTTTCAGGATAATCTAGTTAACAATCCCTTGTTTCAGGATAATCTAGTTAACAATCCCTTGTTTCAGGATACTCTAGTTAACAATCCCTTGTTTCAGGATACTCTAGTATTATTATAATTATTATTATCAGGGATAACCTAAAGCTTAAAGGAAGACTAGGGTTGGACCAAGGTTTACCTGAGGACCCGGGATCAGAGTTTGTTTCCGAGTACTCTCAGGTATGAAGTAAATTACAGGTTATATTTAAATCTTAAATGTTTTTAGTCATTTTATTCTAGAACAAAATATGTTTTAAATTTCTTTATCTTTAACACCCCAATATTTCAAACTTTAAATTTTGTTAGATAAAATAATCAAAGATTAACACATCAAGTTGCAAAGATATAGATATTAGAAAGTTTTGATTTGTGGAAAAAAGTTAGTTCCCTTTAAAAACTATTAATATTCTAATCCTATTTCTAAACTACTGATAATATTCAGGATTTCAACTCTGTGGACTCTGATACGTGTAGGAAAGGAATCCTAAAAGCTAGATCAAAATATGTTCAGGTACATTCAGAAAACTTAGAATATATATACATTTTCTTAAAGGGACTGTAAGCTTAATTTTAAGTCAACCTCCGCGTGCAAAAATGGCATAGCCCGATTCACAATTGTATGTCTTATCTTTTATCTCATCAAGTCTGAATTAGACCTAGAAACCTAGAAATACGACAATGTCTTCCACAATATTGATCAGACAATCCCTTGTTTCAAGATATTCTAGTTAACAATCCCTTGTTTCAGGATAATCTAGTTAACAATCCCTTGCTGCAGGATACTCTAGTTAACAATCCCTTGCTTCAGGATACTCTAATTAATAATCCCTTGTTTCAGGATACTATAGTTAACAATCCCTTGATTCAGGATAATCTAGTCAACAATCCCTTGTTTCAAGATAATCTAGTTAACAATCCCTTGTTTCAGGATACTCTAGTTAACAATCCCTTGTTTCAAGATAATCTAGTTAACAATCCCTTGTTTCAGGATAATCTAGTTAACAATCCCTTGCTTCAGGATAATCTAGTTAACAATCCCTTGCTTCAGGATACTCTAGTTAACAATCCCTTGCTTCAGGATACTCTAGTTAGCAATCCCTTGCTTCAGGATACTCTAGTTAACAATCCCTTGCTTCAGGATACTCTAATTAATAATCCTTTGCTTCAGGATACTCTAATTTATAATCCCTTGTTTCAGGATACTATAGTTAACAATCCCTTGATTCAGGATACTATAGTTAACAATCCCTTGTTTCAGGATACTCTAGTTAACAGTCCCCTGTTTCAGGATACTCTAGTTAACGATCCCTTGTTTCAGGATAATCTAGTTAATAATCCCTTGTTTCAGGATACTCTAGTTAACAGTCCCTTGTTTCAGGATACTCTAGTTATACCTCCGGAAATATTGGAGAAAATATCTAACAAGGATCAATTCTTTCACTCGGGCAGAAATACAAGGTAAACTAGGTTAAGTAAAACACTCAAATAGAAAAGAATCTTCACTGACACGACTTTGTGAGCTCGTAGCTCCTCAATATTTTGACTCTACGGACAAGTATGAGTGAAACAAATTTAAACATATTATACATATTATGCATATTAGAAATTCAAAACATGTTTGTTCTCCTTAACTGAACTGTAAAATTAGTTTCAAGTTAAGATGGCAAAGGTACCCACGGGCAGGTGTAGTACATTTGAATTTCCGAGCTGGGTCAACCTTTCCGTTCCCAGTTTGTACTGTACTTAGCTCTATGGGCTATGCTTCAAATAGGTTGAATTTACTTTTACTAAATGGGTAGAGGTGCGTGTACCCTATAAACGTTTTGTTCAGCTGTTTGAGAAATATCAACAGTTACTTTCTAGAAATGGCAGAAAATTAATATTTTTTAAGTCAGATTTTCGGTAATTGTGACTTGTTACACTAGTAGCGCACTGTACGTCGCGTTTTACAGGGATTCAAGTGGTTTATAAGATATTTAATTGATAAGCTCTCTTTAAACGAAGAACAATCAGTTTAAAAGGTACCGTTGTAAATCGGACATTGCCTTCTTTGCTCTTCAAGAAGAGCAGTTGTGATTTAAAACATATTAGATCTTAATCTTACCATCAAACAGGATTAATGATGGAAATCAATTAATAATTTACAAATTAAAGAATTTTAAATTAAAAGAAATAATTAAGGAAATTAAGAGGATAAACGAATTATATTGATAAATGAAAATCAAATAATTAAATGATTTCCGAGTTTTATTTCTTCTTTCTATTGTTCTGAAAATTTTAAAGAAGACGACATTTTTTTATTTTCCAATTACACATGCATGGTATCACTGTACAGTGTATGTATTTTATAGAGCCCGAGATTCTGGCTTTAATTCTGAATATAACAGTTCTGTTCTAGCAAGTGAAAAGGTAATTCATTATTGCATATACAGGGTTACCCACAAAGGATGAGACTGAAAAACGATCTATAAACTATTGCAATATGACAATTCCATGCTCTTTTGCATTGATTAAAGTCATTTTATAGCTTATAAAATGATTGTGCAAAGAAAGAAACAAGTTTAAAGTTGCAAGGGATCATGAATGTAACTAAACAGACAGTGTAAATTCTGTACAGTCGTCTATGAAGTTTTATTCTTTAAATAAAGAAATAAATCAATCAATAGAATATTCAATCAATCGACTAATCAAGTAATGAGTATAAAATTCTATTAATCAATTTTTTTAACGTTTATTATTTTTACAAATTTTAATTTTTAACAATATGTATGAGATAAAATGAATAGATTATTGTCGCAGAAATTTAACAGGGTGCTCACATGTCTGCAGACACCCTGTCACAGAACTTGCTTTATATAATTTATATAAATTTATATAATAACTTCCATCATGTTCTTGGTTAAATTTTGAAAGAAAAGTTTTTTGGGACGTCCCTGTAATCACCAATATATTATTGGTTCCTAGAATTTTGTTTGATTCTATTAATCAATAAATCAAATACATTAAAAAATTTTCAAATCAATAAGTCAATAAGTAGATCAATTACTCTGTTAATAAATTATTTAATTGATAAGTAAACCAACTGATTGATTAGCGAATAAATAAGACAATGATTAAAACAATTATTAAATAATTGAATAGACACACTATGTACAGATATAAAATCAAACAATAGATCATTCAATTTACAATCCACCAAAAGTTAAAACCAATCAACAAAATAATTAAAATTGAAAAATAAGAATTTGACAAATATCCATTAATCAATTTATTGATTGATTGATTAATTTATTTCTTGATTGATTGATTTTTTAAGGGAAGCTGTGTGTACTATCCTGATCAAAACAGCAATGCTTTCGAGAGTGAACAGGTAGCAAATATATTGGAAATAAAACTTTT